AAAAAAAAAAAAAAAAGGATGACGAAGGAGGAGGAGGAGAGAGAGAGCGAGAGAGAGAGAGAGAGAGAGAGAGCCTGACACATGGCACTTCGCGCAACGGTACCTTTTCGACGACGACAGGCAGCGAGGACGAGCTGGGAAACAGGCAGCGACGACGGCCAACGGCGGCAGGCAGTGATAACGGGCACCTCGGCGAAGGCTTGCACCGACGGGCGTCGACGGCGACAACACGACCTCGGCGAAGGCGGGCAGCGACGGGCGTCGACGGCGGCAACACGACCTCGGCGAAGGCGGGCAGCGACAGGCGATCTCACTTCGACGACGCGGACAGACACAGGTTCACTTCGAGCACTTCAACGGGCCAGCGACGGGACAAACACGGGTTCACTTCGAGCACTTCGACGGGCGTCGATGGCGAAGGTGGGCAGCGAATTCGAACGGGGCCTGTGCGGAAAATTTTTGAGCGGGGGGGGGGGGGGGGGCCCCCAAGGCCCAAAAAAGTTGGAAAAAGGCCTCCTCCCCACCCCCCCACGCAAAACTTTTTGAACAAGGAAAAATTTTGCAAGCGTGGGGGGGGGGGGGCGTAGAGGCTCGTAAGGCCCACAAAAGTTCGAAACAGGCCTCCTCCCCCCTCCCCCCCCACGCAAAAATATGTTGGGCCCGCCTGGCATCGAACTGTGGGACCGAACCGGCCGGGCCGCCCAAGACCCCTGCCGGACGGAGGCTGGGCCGCCGGGTGCCCTGGAGTTTAACACAGTCCTACCTCACCCAGTGCATGGGGCTGAACGGTAAAATAAATCCTCCATGCACTGTTGATTGACAGACATGGGCCGAGGTCCCACTAGCAAAGAGGATAGGATCAAGCTCCTGAATATGGATGTCTTTTACGCAGAGATGCAGAAAAGCAGTTCAATCCTTGGCTACCAGCGTGGACGCCCGGGTCACCCTATTTTCCCGGACGGCCCGGCGGTGCAAGCACCTGGGAAGGTCGTAGCAAAGAAAAAAA